ACCCTTAGAATCGTGAAGCTCAAGCCATGAGGGTTTATTGTAGTTTTGATTTGAAATTTGGAAGGGAATGGTTCTACTTGGAAAGTGAAGCAGTGTTTTTGTGAATATATGTTCAAGAAAAGCAAATGTAAATCCTAGAAAAAGCCTTTGAAGCTAAAAAAAAAAAAAAAAAAAAAAAAAAAAAAAAAAAAAAAAAGAGAGAATGTGACAAACGAAGGGTTGATGAATGAAGATGTAAGAGGAAAGCGAAAGCTCAAAAGTGTTTGGCATTATAGTTCAAGATTGTGGCAACGTAGTTTGAAAATTGGTTGATGATTGATTTTGAAAAAGAGGCTTGATCACCCTTTGCTTCACGGTTAGGCTAAGCACCAATTTCCAAATTCCTCCACACCCTTACCCCCCTAGCCATCGTTATAACCCTTTCAATGCCCTGTTGACCTAGGTTGGTTGAGTCACTTATCGGTGGAGGGAGCTGGAACTCAAGCATATGGAGAAGGCATGACTTGGTGAGATGTCGGGTTCCCCTATTTTGCAGTGTTTTATCTTTGTTCCGGCTCCTTCGAGGAGTCACTTGATGCTATCTCCAAGGGCGGATTTGAATCTAGATGAGGGAACGCGGTAAGATTGTATGGAATGCAGGGGGAGTGGTGCATGTTTGAGTTCTCTATGCTTAGCATAGCTTATCCTTCAATCAACTTTCGGCATCCCCTTGCATGCTCACTTCTACTACTCAGAAAGTTTGACACTCATTCATGTTTGTTATCTCCAAAAGCTCGATTTGGCTATGATTTGTGTTGGATTTGTTGTTTCTTTTTCCCTTGTTTTTGGTTTGTCTTGAACGCAATTTTGTAAGAGTTGTGGGGTATGCTCTCTGGAAACCCTCACGAGATCACAACTCGTCCTCATCGGCGACCTTGGGGTTTAAATGGCTTGTTGCTTTTGCTAAAATCAATTTTGGTTTTTCTTTTGTTCCTTGCATGTTTGAATAACTAATTCTTTCTCCCTTGTTCTTTTTCCTTTGCTTTGCTCGAGGGCGAGCAAAGGCTTAGCGTGGGGGAGTTTGATGAGTGACATTTATGTCACTCTTAGGGGTAGTATTTAGGTCTTTTTCCTCTTATTTTTCTTAGGTTTTTCCACCTCATTATCCTCTTATGGCTTCTTTTTGTGTTGATGAAAAGTAATGCTTATTTTGATAATCTTTATGCATTATTTTATCATCCCCATGCTCTCGTGAACTTTGGTATCTTCTGCAGGTTCCGTGACAGTCCTATGCACGGTGGGAGGCCCCTTGGCCAAGCATGGAAGCCATGGACAAAGGAAAGAGGGGCAAAAGGGAAGGAGAGGAAGCAAGAAAAGGAAGTGCAAGAGGAGTTGTGGCCGAACCTCTGAAAGGTCCGGTCGAACCTTGGTGTGGTCAAACTTTTCAAAAGTTCGACCGAACCTCCAGGGTGCAGTGAAGGCAGTGTCAAACCTGTTTTCAGCAATTTTGCAGGAGAGGTCGAACCTCAAAAGTTCGACCAAACAAGGATCAGGGAGGTTCGACCAAACCTACACATGGTTCGACCGAACTTACCCATAGTTCGGTCGGACCTTTTCCCGATCTCAGCCGATTTTGTACGGACCATTTAAGGTCCTTTTGAGGTCGTTTAAAAGAAGACGGGAGAAGCAGGACAGTAGCTGAGTTTTCAGAAACCTCCCTTAGTTTGAAACATTCCTTAGGATTAATTTAGCTTAGTTTTCATCAAATCAAATCATTGTATTAGTGAAATTCAAGAATTATTCTCAAAGTTGGGCAATTTGTATTCAACATTTGAAGCTTCAATTAGTAATTTCTCCAACCTTCTTCCTTTTAATTTCAGATTTCATTTGGTATTTGCATGTTATTTAAATCTTCTTAGTTCTTGGTAATTTGTTATTGGATGATAGTTATTTCAATTGTTAACCACTTTTCCCCAATTATTGAAGTATTTAGAACCCTAATTCTTGATTGCATGTTGATAAACATGAGTTGTGAGTAGTTTTCTTGCTAGGGGTTGGGTGAAGCTCGACCTTTTTGGGTTAACTATGCAAATGTGGGAGAAGCATTGATGTTTGTATTGCAATTAAATTGATTATATGAGATTGCTTGTTAGTTCCTCATGATAGGTTTAGCTACACTTGACTAAGGAGCTTGATAGTATGATATGCCTAATTTGACATGGAAGTGTAAATTGAGTACGTCATTACTTATTGTAATTTGATTATGTATCATCTATTGCTAAACTAATGAGGAATCTAAGTTTAGTAGTGTGAGTTGTTTTCTAATTGCATGAGGTTGATTTTACATATAGTCCTTGCTATATCTTGTCTATTTTACTCCCCGTTTGCCTATTTGCCTTGGTTGAGCGGATCTCATTATCTAGTATCTTTAATTCATTGATTTAGCACCATAGTTTGTTTGTCTTCTTGACGAACCCCTATTCACCAATTGACTTCGAGCTAGCTTAAGTGTAAAGATCTTTGGCAATCATATCCTGTTCCTTGTGGACCGAACTCTTACTTGTCATTATGCTTGGTTTGTAAGGTGTTTGTTAATAAATGTGTTTGATTGAGTGTGGAATTTACGACCGCTCGCACGCCCATCAACTTCTCATTCAGCTCTTCCTCAGTCATATCCAAGGTAACCGAGCACGCGTCCCGTAAAACGTCCGTGCTAGGAGTAGTGGAAACCATGGAACCGTCGACACGAAGCCCTAGAATATGATACACATCATGCAACATGATCGTGATCTCCCCAAAAGGCATGTGAAACGTGTTCGTGTCTGGCTGCCATCTCTCAACAAAAGCTGAAATTAAGGGCCAGTCAAATCACCGGAACATGATCCCGGGTAAATGAGATAGACCAGTGCCATCAATCGGTTCCAGGTGCTCCGGCGTAAGACGAGCGCGCCAATTACCCAATTCAGAACACAACTGTGTCCTGCTCAAACACCGCAGCACGTTTCGCTCCTGCCCACCCCATATGTAGGCAGACACGTGACCCCCAAAACTCGGAATAACGGTACCATCCTCAGGCCCACCTGGCATCGGCTCCTGCACCACCCATGACTCTGACGAGCTGGTAGAAGCTTGACCTGGTTCACTACTGCTAACATATCTCCCATGGTCACCCCTATACACAGTACGGTAATCCTGAGGGTCGTACTGTGCATCTCCAGCAGATTGACTTCCTCGATCTTCATCCTCCTCCTGATCTGATGAAGGCACTCCAGTAGACGAATACATGGGGGCGCTCCCCTGTGACTGGTGCTCCCCCGACCAAGCACCAGCAGTCCCATACTGCTGCTCATGCTGAAACGGTGCATGTGAAGGTCCTGCACCACCTAACTCCCTCCTAACAGACGCATTCAAACGTCTTGATCTTGCATGACGAGGACCAGAACCCTCAATCTGCATTAAAAAAATAAGTACAGAATCATATTTCAATAATAATTCATAGTAAAAAAAATCAAATCAAAACTATAATAAATCAAATCAAATAAACAATAATAACAACATTACAAATAATAACAATAATATTATTCTTACAATACTAATACACTACTAACAATAACAACACACTAACACACTACAAATAATTTCAACGCAATAACAGACCAAATCAAAACTATAATTAACCACAAAACTGCCTAAATTTAAACGCAACAACGACAACCCAATAAAAAAAACAATTACAATAACAATAACAACAATTTAAGTAAACAACCATAATACATAACAACAACAGCAGCAAAAACCAATACAAACCAAACCAAATTTACATGACAATAACAATACATAGCAACAACAAACTTATTAAAATAAAATCAAGAATTATTGCTAAACTATAATTATTGTAAAACTAAATCAACAAAAATTACATATCAATAACTATTGCAAAACTAAATCAAGAAAAAAATTATTTTAATGAAGGACACAAATTACTTCAAAAAATAAAACAAAAAATAAATAAAAAAAAAGAAAATGAAGGACACAAATATTTTCAAATTAAAACATGAACCAAATCAACAAAATCGAGGACAAAAAAAAATTAGAAAAACATAAATTAAAAAACAAAGGGAAAACAGAAAAAAAAAAAAAAGGGGGGGGGGAAACAGAAAAACACAAAAACCAAAAAAAAAAGAAGGGAAAAACAGGAAAAAAAAAAAGGAATAACAGAAAAAGAAAAAAAAAATATAAAAAAACCTGGAAACTGGACTTCCGCCAAGAAATTCCGGGAGTCCAGGGGAACTTCCGGAAATTTCAGGCGGAAACCCCACTTCCGCCTGTAATTTCTGGAAGTTCCCCTGGACTTCCGGAATTTCTGGGCGGAAGTCCCCTTGTCCAGATTTTTTTTTTTTTCAAAATTCAAAAATTTAATACAAAAACAAAAAACTCACCGGCTAACGCCGCCACCACGACCACCAAACGTCAGCCTAATTCTCCGTCGGTCTGCCATTGTCGGATTCAACGTTTGATTGCAAGATTTCAGATTCTTTTTGGGTTTTTTTTTTAAAAAAAATTTCTCATTTTTTTTTTCCAAAATTTCAGATTTTTTGGAAGGTTTTACAGAGAGAAAGTGTCAAAGAGTGATTTTGTGAGATGGGAAATGTCTCGTAAAGCCCTAACTTACTTTATCGAGTATTTATATACGGAGGGCAATTTAGGAAATTTATGTAAAAAATGTGAACGTCACCTAGTAAAATGTGAACGACGTTTAACAACCCCAAAAAATAATGTTCGGTCCCGTGGGTTTGAATGTTGGATCTAGATTCGACTCGAATCCAAACCCGACCTTGGACATCTAGACCCAAAGCAATAATAAGATTAAAAATAGAAACGGATCAATCAGGGTTTGGATACATTGTCATATATCCACTAATCTTATTTGAGCCACAGCTTAAATTGACGCTACTTGGACCAATGCTCAGCTCTAGATCATCCATCTGATAAAGTAGGTTTTCTTTTTTTTTGATCCACCTTTGTTTACTGTAATTAAACAAATACATACAACAGCACTAGAATTAGTAGGATGGAAACTTGATGGTAGAAGCACAATCCTTTTGCCACTCAGGAGAACTGCTAGAGCAGTTGATAAGTGTCGTCCCACTTTGATCGACACAATGTAGAACTTGCCAAAGTTGATCATATCCTTGAGCATCACGGTTACAAAAAATAAAAGGGCGAAATCCAGTGGCTTGAGAGATGGCCGCGCTTATGCGCTCAAGAGGGTAAAATTGATCATTTGGTTGGATACCGGCAATTGCAAGGGCTTGGAAGATATCGATCTTGTTCTTTAGGTTTAGTGCAGCATGAAAATAGGACATCTCATCTAGGACGGATTTTGAGCATGTACCGCGTTTGTTATACTCGTGGAGCCAGAATTTCCTTCCAATCTCTGGGCATGTAAAAGATGGCCACTCCTTTTGTAGCATGCTCTCTATGGCTTTAAGCTGCAGGGAATAACGCATGACATTATTGGTTATGTTTCCTCAAAGAGTCAAAGAAGTAATGGACTTATGGACTAATGCTTAATTACCTAAGGGTCCTACCGACAATGTTCATATTTCACTTGCATCATATTGATTGGATACATAACGCTAGCAAATGCATAATTTTGACTATTTATACATATTAAGAAAAAAATGCTCATTGTAGCATACATTAAGATAAAACCACCAACTTCTTAAATGGTGGGACCAACTGCAGTCTATCAGTGTATGTGTTCGTGTATGTTCTGAGAGTAAAGTTGTTGTCCCTCAAGGCCATTTATGGTATGTAGCTAACATAATGAGTCATTCAAAAGAGGAATATGGGGCTATTCGATTTAGTTGGACAGAGGGCATATAATTAACTAACTGTATGTAGAGAGTATAACAAATTGATGAGATATGAAAATCATAGGCTAAAGTTTATGGAACCAAAGATATATATATAGCCAACTCGATCTACGGAAAAAATATGTAACTCTTACCATTGATTAAGAATATGTGTTGAGGTAACTCCAAACAAATAACAATGAAAGTTAAGGTTGGAAGGATATATGAAAGACTTTGAATTTGTTAAATCTAAAAACTAGTATAGGATACCGAAAATTCATTCTAATCCGAGCAAGCAAGATTTTCAGTTCAAAGAGTACTAATGTGCGGACACAAAACTGCGCACTCCTAATACATACCGGAGCTACATCGAAACGTTCTCCAGGACAATTTTCGAGGGCAGTACCATCATCACTGTAAGGCCAAAGTCCATAGATCGTAAAATTTGGTGTAGGCTTTCCTACTGGTGGGTCGCAACATATTGTCCCTTGTTGGTTACAGTACGATGGTAACCACTGCATTTCAAGAATTCAAGATAAAATTTTATTCAAATTCACAAACATTAGGCTGCATTAGTAAAAACATTAAGCTTATGTATGAGAGCTCATTTATATAAAATCACCTGTTGGATGAAATAGAAAGCGCGGAAATCAGAAGAAGTTGGCTCTTCACCTAGAGCTATGACGGCGAAATTGAGCAGCACAAGCTTAGAGATGAATATTAAGCACCCCCATTTCGTCATTTTTTTTTTAAGGAAGATTGATTTTTACAAGCTTATTTATCTCAGCCCACCCCTTACAATTCTTATTGTATAAGAAATCCTTGAATAGGTGGATAATGGAGCTTATTATAAGGGAAGTATATATTTAAATTGTTGAAATTAGATGATGATTATTGAGATTTTTAGAAGCAACCCTTGTCCCAATCAATTAATATGTCACGGGATGTAAAGAACAAAGAAATGGTGAAAAGAATAATATCGTCCACAAGTCGTTCATACTCTATTGCTTTCTTTCTTATGAAATGTCATCTTGCAAGATCTTCTGTATGTTATGTTGATGACGACGTCTTGTACATAGTAATAACTAGAGGTGTCCACCGTGCGAGTCGTGCGAGCTGGGTTAGGGTTAGGTGGGTCGCGGGTTGGGGTTTCATGACACACGACACGACACACGTAGGGTAGGGTGGGCCGGGTCGTGGGTTGGGTCGGAGAAGTTGGACACACCAGGGTTAGGTTCGTGGGTTAGACGAGTCGTGGGTGGGTCGAGCTGGGTTTGTGGGTTAGACGGATCGTGGGTGGGTCGAGCTGGGTTTGTGGGTTAGACGGGTCATGCGTGGGTCGAGCTAGGTTCGTGGGTTAGACGGGTCAAGGTGGGTTAGTGAGTTAGGGTGGGTCGAAGGGTGGGTTAGTGGGTTAGGGTCGGGTGGGTTTGTGGGTTAGGTGGGTTAGGGTCGGGTGGGTTAGTGGGTTAGGGTCGGGTGGGTTTGTGGGTTAGGTGGGTTAGGGTCGGGTGGGTTTGTGGGTTAGGGTCGGGTGGGTTCGTGGGTTAGGGTCGGGTGGGTTGTGTGGTGTTTTAATTTTTACAAAATTAACAATTTGATGGCTTGCTCTTAATTAAGATGCCTACGTATCCTTATATTATAAAATAAGGAATCAAATCCAGCGTAGTTCTTATATTGTACTTCTTTTGAAATTTGGGGGGGGGGGGCTTGGACCTATCTTTAGAAAACTAAAATTTAATTTTGCAATTAAATTGTAATTTTCGAAAAATAAGTTGCCTACGTATCCCGAAAGAATCAAAGCCCACGTAGTTCTTAGCGTACCTGATTTAGACTTTTCTAGCCACCCATGTTTGTTGCATCATCATCCCCGGAAGCTGCATCATCCGTTGACGACTCCAATATCATCACAGGATCATCTTCATCGTCTTCGTCTTCCTTTAAACCTTGAGTTCTTCTTTCAGCTTGATCCCAATCTTTCTTACAAACACAAATTTGAATGCTTTCCGGAGTTAAGCGAGATCTTTTTTCATCTAACACTCTTCTACCTGCACTAAAAGCAGACTCGGAAGCAACAGATGAAGCGGGAACTGCAAGTATATCTTTTGCAATTCTCGCCAATATAGGAAAACTTTTTTTATGTTCTTGCCACCATTTTATAATTTGAAAGTTGTTGTTGGTCTCATGTTGATATGACAAATAATCATTAATAGCAAGTGTTGAAGAAGATGATGATGAGAATGATGTAGATGCTTTGTGTTTTTTTTTCATAACTTTATCAAGAAAACCAAATCTAGAATCGGAAGTGCTAGTAGTAGTTGGTGTTGCCAAATCAAAACCATAAATAGATGCATAATGATCATAAAGGTCTCCCAAAACAGATTTGCATTTGTTAATATATTCACTAACATCATAATCGATACTTAAACTTGTATAATAAAATTCTAAAAGATTTTCCAAACCTTCAGCTTTGACACCGGGGTCAAGAATAGCAGCAATTCCATAAATGATTGGAAATTCACTAAAATAAGTATGCCACTTACGTTTCATGCTATCAAGAACGGGACGAAGTCCATCAATCTTCATATGCTCTTCGATGGTGTGAACAACTTTAACACACTCAATTATGACTAAATGAACGTTAGGCTCATAAATATAAGAGAAAATATGAGTTGCACTATCAAAAGCATTTAAAACATCACGAACAAAAGAAGCATTAGTCCAATGACTTTCGGTTATTAACTCAGTAGGATCAACACGAGTCTCATTCTAAAGTTGGGTCAAAATATCACGATACTTTATAGCATCACTCAACAACTTGAAAGTAGAATTCCAACGGGTAGGGGTATCAATAGACCATTGTCTTTTCTTAAGACCTCTCTCTTTACACATAGCTATGTACTTTCTTCTAACTGACTGAGTAATCCTAATCCATTTTATAACTGTTCTAATTGGGTTTAGCAATGGTTGCAACTCAGCGAGACCCTCTTGAACAGACAAATTCAAAATATGAGCACAACATCTAACATGCAAGAGACTACCACCCAACAACAAATTCAACTCGGAGTCATTTTTCAAATAGTCAATACACTTTGTGTTTGCAGTTGCATTATCAAGAGACAAAGAAAAAACTTTATTATTCAAGTGAAATTCTTTTAAACAATCCAAAATACGAACTTTGATGTTAAAACCGGTATGCCTTTCTTCCATAGCTTGAAAACATAGTATACGTTTTTGAATAAACCAATCATCATCCACCCAATGAGCAGTAATGCAAAGAAAAGGTTCGCCAAAACTAGAAGTCCATGTATCACTTGTAAAACTAACACGACCATCAAAAGTACGAAATAATTCAATCAAACCACTCCTATACTTATAATAAGAAGTTTGTGTATAACGTCTTAGGGTATTTCGGGGGACACGAGTAAATGCAGGTTGTAATGCAACTTTATTAAAATGCTCAACGTTTGCATTTTCACCGTAACTAAAAGGGTATTCATTAGCAATAACTAAAGTACTCATTTCATCAATCATTCTATCTTTATTATAAATGAAAGGTGTACCTCCGCCGGGTTGGTTCATGTATCCACCCAATTGTGTTTGGACGCCACCCCCCGAAGGACGGGGGCCATTTTCGAACAAGTCGTGTTTATTTTGCAAATGCCGACTCAAGGTTCCGGTTCCATCTCCCGTTTTCCAATTATATGACTTGACATTTGCACCTTGCGCCTTGCAAACTAGGCATGTACACGTGAACCTCTTTGGTTGACCAGGTTGCCATCCCGGGGGTGTGACCTCAACTCGTTCAAAATGTTTCCACACCCAAGAAAAATGTGCTCGACCTCTACTTTCACCGCCACCACCTTTCATAAATCAAATTATTAAAATTAATTTTTAAATGCTATTCATGAAAATAAGCTTTTAAATTTTAAATATTTTAATTATACTTATTTAAACGCATTTTTCATGGTAATTAACTAATTGTAAATCATAGAAAATTGGAAACTAAACTAACTTTATAATCATTAATAATAGTTTTTTTAAATATTCATAACAATAAAAATTTAATTAGAAATTACCTTGAGATGAAGGTTGAGATGTTGGTTGCGATGGAGGTGGCATAGTTGAACTTGATGATTGGTGGGACTCGTGGGAGAAATGTTGTGGTGGAGACGTTTGAATATTTTGCCTATCTCCTAAACCATAATCTCCATATTCATTGACAAATTGGTTTAAATTTTCCGTATTAATTTCATACGAAAAATTTGCACCACCACTCCTTTGGCTACCACTTCGACCACCACTTTGACTCCTTCCCATTCCTCCTCTTGAGCTCATTTTTTTTTTGTATGATTACTAATTATAATATGGAGAAGAACTTTTTTTTTTTAGAATCTTAAGAATACTAATAATAATATTAAGGAGATTTTTTTTTAACAAAAATATAACTCTATATAACACTTGAGAATTTGAGAACAATAAGAATTTTTAAGTAAGAGAGAAAGAAAGCTTGAATTTGTGTGGAAATTTGAGTGAAATGGAATTGGTATTTATAGGAAAAATAGAATGGATGATCATACACTTAAAAAACTAGCCGTTAGATACAAAAAACTAGCCGTTAGATACAAAAAACTAGCCGTTTTTTTTTTAAAATGGATGTTAGGCCGTGCGGGTCGTGCGAATTGTGCGGGTTGTGCGGGCCGTGCGGGTTGTGCCGGCCGTGCGGGTTGGGTGGGTCATGCGTGCGGGTTGGGTGGGTCATGCGTGCGGGTTAGGTGGGTTGGCTCGTGCGGGTTGGGTGGGTCATTCGTGCGGGTGGGCCGTGCGGGCTGGGTTGTGCCAGGTGGGTCGGGTTAGGTGGGTTCACGGGCTAGGTGTGTCGAATTAAATGAGTCAAAACGGGTTGTGCGATTTGGGTCGAATCAAACGGGTTAAACTGAGCTGGGTTGAAATGGGTTGTGTCGAAAATTTTGGACCCACGACACAACCCGGATTAAATCCGAGCTGTGCCGGATTGAAACCGGGTCGGACCCACGTGACCCACCAGCCGTGCGAGTTAGGGTGGGCTGGGTCCAACCCGGCCCACTGGCCACCTCTAGTAATAACAATTCGAGCAGATAAGGTCATCATATATAGCGAATTGATGGACTGAAAATTATTTCGTGGTTTCATGTATAAAAATAAGTGGTGACTTATTTTTCTTTTACATTTCTATGTGTTTTCTAGGACATTATAATTATTACGAAGTATTCAATACCATTGATATCTTCTCATTTAAACTAAAGAAAACATTAGGTCAAGACGACCAGGGACACGACACGACCTAACATGAAAGAAACATGACATGACACGCCCAGTACATTATTCTGCATGCCGAGCTGTGGCTACCTCTTTTTTAAGGAGAGGCATGACAAGGTACAACCTGCCTCAACCCAACACAACAAAGCACACTAAATTTAGTGAGACTTAGCATAGGTACATATGCAAGCCCAGCTCGAATCGACACGGTGGCACGTGGGCTCGCTTGGGTCAACCTTTTGAAAATTTCGGTTTGACACACAGCTTGTGGCCGGGTTGGGCCTTGATAACCCCATATGATATGGACTCAATATGAGGCCCGACTTGTCACAACTCACAACCATCTTTATTTACAACTCACAGCCTGGCCTATAAATGAGGGAGCCCCAATTTCTCATAGTGAGAAACAAAATTTGTTTCTCACATAGCATTTTTGTAAATAAACCAACAATTTTATTCAACTTTATTCAATTGTGGAGCCCACAATAATGAAAAAGTTGTTGATTTATTCACGAAAATGCCCCCATGAGAAACAAATTTCGTTTTCCACTATGAGAAATAGGGAATTTCCCCCTATAAATTTGGAAATTGTTAATAAATATATAGTGGTAAACGTATTGATTTTATATGTAAGTTTGTGAAAAAATTCAATGCTAATAGGTAATACCCTTTAGCTCAAGTATTTCACAAATTTTCATAACCATTCATTACCATTTAAACGATGGTAACATCTATAAATAAAATTTTTGAAGAAATGCACATGTTTGGAGGAAAGAGTTCCATTGATATGGTAGCGAACAGCCGAACATAATATTGATTTCCTAGCATACAAAATCACAATTTCTGACCACTTATCAAACATGTTGTAAATTAAAACCTCTAGTTATTATACCAATTTTAGCTTTTTTTAGTAGTCACAAAGAACTGTATAGAAGGGAAAAAAAGACTTTCTTAATGTATTCCCTCCTTCCCTTATTTACATGCCTATTTCTCTTTAGGACGTTTTGTGAAAAACTACTTTATATATATCAAATTTTGTGAAAAAATGCCTTATAAAAAAATTGTTGTAAGAAACTACCTTATAAAATCTAAATGTTGTAAGTTGCTACCATTTGTTTGATTTAACAATGAAAGAGAAGGAGAATTAGGGGTTATAAGGGGACTATGGAGAAATTGGGTGGGAAAAGGAGAAAAAAAGATTGAAAATGGATCAATAAACGTCCCTTATTCAATGCATTAATCCGGCAAAAGGTAGCTTCTTACAACATTTAGTTGTTTTATAAGCTAGTTTCTTACAACACCTAGTGTTTATAAGGTAGTTTCTTACAACAATTTTTTAATAAGGTAGTATTTTACAAAATTTGTAATCTATAAGGTAGTTCTTCACAAAAAGTCCTTCTCTTTATTATGTTAGTAATAAATGTTAGAAAAAGGCATGTAAATAAGGGACAGGGGGAGGATTACATATTCTGCAGAGCACGTAATTTTGCAATTTGGCAAGAATGAAAGTCAATGTAGACATTGAAAATGTTGTATTGTGGTTACTAAGAATCTTGGTTTATTAATGTAGACATTAAAAGTACAAGGACTAGTTAATTATAAGACGGAAACTTAATGGTAGAAGAACAACCTCCTTGATTCTTAGGAGTGCTAGAGCAATTGGTAAGTTTCACACCACTTTTATCCACACAATGTATAACTTGCCAAATCTGACTGTTTCCTTGAGCATCATGGTTACAGAAAATTGAAGGGCGAAATCCGGTGGCTCGAGTGATGGCCGTGTTTATGCTCTCTAGAGAGTAAAATTGGTTGTTGGGCTGTATCTTGGCTTTCGCGAGGGCTTGGAAGATGTTGATCTTGTTCTTGAGGTTTAGAGCTGTGTGAAAGTATGACGTCTCGTCTAGGACGGATTTTGAGCATGTTCCGTGCTTGTTCCATTCATGGAGCCAAAATTTCCTCCCAATTTGAGGGCATGTAAAAGAGGGCCATTCAGTTTGTAGCATTTTCTCTATAGGTTTAAGCTGCATTCAATTAATGGATTTGTTCATCAATTTGCATCGGAGAAAATAAAGTAAAGAAAATAATGGAAGGAAATTGTACCAAGTAAATGAAATATCATAAATGGTCACATATATATGAATATTTGTCTCTAAGTATTTTCAACAATTTGACCAACACACTTTTCAAACTTGCTAATGCACAAATATAATAATTAATATATTTAATTATCTATTACTCCGTAATAAAAAGTAGATATGATGTTGAAAATGTACCGTAAGATAAATCTAAAAATACCTCATATACACACATTTGTCTTTGTATGTTACCGAGTATTATTGAAAATAAAAATTATGATACGGTCGAAGTAAAACAAGTGATAAATAGTACTCCGTATAAAAGTTAAATCGTCACATTTAATTCGAATATCATTCTAAAGGTAGACCCTTATTATTATTTTTCAGAAAAATCTTTATTTACCTATTAAGTTTATATATAAACCATTTAATGTTACGATAACCAATTATTGGTGATTCTTAGAGCAAATAAAAATCATTTCTACCAATCTAATTTTATTTTTGAATTTTAAATAACAAACGATATAAAAAAAGTGTTGGGTGAGACAATCTGACAAAAGGTCTAGTGTGAGGCAATCTTGCAAATCGCATAACAATAACCTATTTTGTACCAAGTTTGGCTCTTTCCATATATCGTAAAAGATCTAATCCTTCCAATAACCTTAGCTTGGTCGTCAAATACACGCAATGGAAGCAAATAATTATTCACACGTAACTAGTGCTCGTATTTTTCGACTAATAAACCACAAATTTAGAGAAATTAACATAATTGTTACAATCAAAATCATAACTAACTCGTATTACTTACCGGACCAACATCAAAACTAGAACCGTCGCAATTTTGAATGGAACTACCATCACTTGTGTAAGGCCATAGCCCATATATTGCAAAATTCGCTTTAGGTTTTCCTGTTGGTGGGTAACAACATGGTGTTCCTTTTTGGTTGCAGTACGATGGTAACCACTACATACAAAATAATTATGTATGAGAAATTATAATTTTTTTTACAAAAAAATGCTACAATTCAAATGCATAATAGAAATTAAAATTTTGTGTGAGGAAAATAATAAAAATTCACCTACCTGTTGTATATAGTAGAATGCTTGAAAATCATTAGGATCATTTGCAAGAGTTGTCACTGCAAAATTGAGGAGAAGCACAAGCTTAGAGATGAATATTAAGCTCCCCAATTTCGCCATTATTGATCTCTTTCTTTCGTAATGACTAGGTTTATAAAATGTGGCTATGCTTATATATTTATGAAAAGAATCCGTACGTATCACCATTATATAGAGCATATCAAAGAGGATACCCCCCACCCCCAAAAAAAAAAAAAAAAAAAAAGATTATATAATAAAAAATCAATCTTTGTTAGTCTACATTAATTTGGAAATACATTAAAGTAGATTTATCAATAGGCTACATGGAAAATATAATGATGAAGTTAATAATACCCAAAAGTCAACATTATTTGAACACGGTACAAACTATTGGGTGCGACACTTCGCACCCAATGTTTCGTGCAACAGGTATTATGTTTCCTCCTTTCTCCGTTATTCTTCACTGTTTTTCTCTCTGAAAATTGCAGAATCTCTCTCTCCTCTTTCTTCTTTCTTCCACCTGAAAAACTCCATTGCATGTTCATTTCTCTTTCCTCGTCGGAAGATGTGAAGCAACGAGGCGAAATTGGTGGTGCGATTGGTGGTTCGATTAAATCTAAGGCTACCAATTTCTTCAATTTTTTTTAATTTTCATGTGTTTGTGGCCGTTTTATTCTCGTTCTGTGGATGTTTTGTGCGTTTTTTTGGGTGGTTAGGGTTGTTTGAGGTGTTCGAATTTGGTTGTTTTATGTTGATGTTGGTGGTTAATTAAGGTTGTTTTAGGTGGGTAAGGTTATTTTCGGGTGGGCAGGGGGTTGTTTTCGGGAGTAGGCTGGTTGTTTTCAGGGCAGGATGGGTTTTTCGAGAGTGGGCTGGTTGTTTTCGCTGTAGGATGTTCTCTGCTGGTGGCGGTTCGCTGGTGGCTGGGTGCTGATGTTGTTGGTTGGACAGTGATGGCAGGGGAGTGTGTTGCAGTTGTGACGATGGTTATGGTGGTGGCATGAGGATTTGTGGTGGCATGAAGATTTTTTTTTTGTTTGTTGTTATGAGAAACCCCATTCTCAAACAGAGAGAAAGAAAGAGAGGAAGAGGGGGAAAAAAGGAGAGAGAAGGAAATAAAAATATATTGTATGTTGTTAATCATATTAGCCAACAAATGACGCATATCAGCCATTAAAATGAACACATCAGCCAATTCATGTCTGATATCAGTCAACATTAGGGACATATCAGACATTAATAAAAACGTATCAGTCAACACAAGGAAAATATCAGTCAATAAATGCAACATATCAGCCAACAAATGGAACAAATGAGCCAACAAAATATGCATATCAGCCAACATAAGAAACATATCAGCCAACAAATGAAGCATATCAACCAACAAAAGGATGAAATCAGCAAACAAAAGCAACAGGTACGCCAACAAAATAAACACATCATCCAACAAAATGAAACATATAAGCTAACAATTAAAATATACATATCAGGCAACAAAATAAAGATATCAGCCAACTAAATAAACATATCAGTCAACTGATGTTTGATAGTAGCCAACAAAATAAACATATTAAACATTAACAAAAATATATAAGCTAACAAAAGGATTATATCAGCCAACACAAAAAACATATCAGCCAACAAATGAAACATATCAGTCGACAAATGAAACATATCAACCAAGTCTGTCGTACGCATAATTTGTGTACGGCAGTCCACACCCAATACCTTCTCTTATTTGGAATGATATTTCATCCAAAAAAAAAATTATATGAATGTCAGTTACTTCGTTCGCTTTCTTTTCATCTTCCTACTTTTACTTTATTTATTTTTTAGTAGTGAAAATTCTCACTTTTATCTTTTCATATCTCACTACATGGTCCAAAATATATTATGTAAATTGTCGTTTTTCACTAATTCGATTGGGAGAAAACAATACATTAACATTTAGGTATGATCGACAATTGATAACACATAAACTGGACTGTTTTTTGTCTATTATTTCTACGTATTGACATGACATCTTGAAAGTTTTAGTCTAGACAGTAACACCGTTCAAAAAAAATAAAAAGCAAACAAAAAAATTGTTAATATTCTCACCTTTTTTTTTATATGAATTAAATTTATATATTAATATAAATTTCATACAACATTTACAAAAGCAATCAAAACCTACAAATTGGATCAAATAATATTTTAATGGGTAAGAATCAAAACTTGCAATACGTATTTAAGAGTTGTAACACATCGAACCTACATGATTTAATAATTATTGGGCACATAATGTAGGGGTGACATTGTGACAGGTTGAGTGATTGATGATTTCATATTTCCATGTGATGAAGGCTTGTTAATTAGTAGCAATTAGACATGTTGAGTGATCTGAAAGTAGCCTTTATTTTCGGTGCAAAAAGAAAAATAAACTTGTTAATCGTTTAATAGAGCTGGTTAGTGTTGAATATTTGTAGTAACTTGCAATTCGACCTTATTAATTTTGACTTTTAAATGATTGAATACTATTATGCTTGCAAATTCCAATAATGTTTTACGACTTGGAAAATAATTTTTGAACTTTGTAATAATAAATGGTGACACAGGCAAATTACATCTAAGACTTTTTAATTGAGTGTTCAAATAATAATATTAATATCTAAGACTTTTTTAAGAACACTAGATTAAAAAAAACAACCTAAAAGAAAAGAACACTTGGATTTAAAAAATATACCAAGTACGCATTTATAACTATATAACTATCTAAGACTTTTAAAAAGTCAATTTAAAAATAGATCATGGATTAAAAAAAATACACTAAACAATTCGAGAGTTTCCTTTTTATTGTTAGGAAATTTTGTCCAAAACTATCCTATAAATGGCCAGTTTTGTAAACTACCTTTTTTTTTAAAAAAACAACTACCCTATAAATGTAGAAACTTTGTATAGCACTACCCTTTAATAGATTCCGTCCACTTTGTCGTTTGTGAGACCCACATTTTCATTCATTCATTTCTTTTCCTTCAACCACAGTGTATAATCATGAACCCTAAATTTCGAAGTTGTTGAAGACAATACTGATTAAATTCTAACAAGATGCATGTAATTTTATTGTGGCCACTCAAACACTTGGATTTAAAAAATATACCAAGTACGCATTTTTAACTATATAATGGGTTTAGGGCTTTGAATTTTCTTAAATTATCATAATTATGGATTCAATTATGTGTTAGGGTTTCAATTGAATTAGGGATTTTGCTTTTTTAGGGTTTAAAGTTTCAATTGAATTAGGGGTTTTGCATTTCTAAGGTTTAGGGTTTCAATTAAATTACGGATTTTGCATTTCGAGGCTTTAGTGTTTCAATTCAATGATTTTATTTTTAAAAAAAAATTTGCTCCAATATAATTTTCATATGTAGAATGTCTAATTCAATGGTTACTTTTTTTTTTGTTGTAAATTTTATGATGTTCCATCTGGTTAAAGGGATCGATGTAGAATGGGTTGATGAAGAATATTGGAATGGTACGTATTGTTAAAATCAATTTTGGTGTTTAATTACTCAAAAAGGGAAGAAAGTTTGATTAGTATGATTTGCTAAGATTAGAACAAAATGGTGAAGGATAATTTTATGGTTTTGAAAAATGACAACCATAACTTTGACACATGGCGCATTCTTATTGGCTAATATTTGAATTATTTTTAAACCCCTAATTAATTAAAAAAAAACATTTTTTTTATTTTAAATAATCATTTTAAATTTTTGAAAATTAAAATTTTTTATTTTTAAAATTCATTTTTTATTTTACAAAATAATTAAATTAGTTCTTATTGAAATTAGAAACTAAAATCTGTTTATTAAAATTAAAATTTTGTTCGTTCATCCATGAATCATAATAAACTGCCGAAAATTTGTAATTCGTGGTTATGATTGATCACCAAATCGTCATCTACACTATCATCTATTAGAACGATGCAATTTCTTCATGATTCCGATCAATTTGGTCGAAAATTAGATTTGAAATCTGGGTTGCAATTTCGAGTGTGGATTACGATGGCAACGCGGCTAACGACGTCGGAGAAGAGTTTCTGGGTTGACGAAGAAGAGGTGGAGTAAGATTGAAGGAGGAGGGATTTAATTGATGATATTGCCGATCGTTTGCTTTTTGTTTAATTGTGTTCAGACTTGTTGCAATTGATCGGTTAGTTCTTCGTCTGAAGGTTTAGATGAATTTGACGCCATGATTTGGTTGATTTGATTGGATTTTGGGATGAACCCTAAAATTGAGAAAGGTGAGAAAATTGATTTGGGGGATTTACAACCCAGATTTACAAACTATGATTTAGTTTATAATTTCAATAATAATTTAATTCATTAATTAATAAAATTTTTATGTTTCGAAATTAAAAATGATTTTTTTAATAAAATATGATTTTTAATTAATTTAGGCATTTAAAATAATTCATAAAGAAAAGATGACTTAAAAATTACAACCAATCAATAAGAATTTTCCATGTAATTAGAGTTATGGTTGTCGTTTTTCAAAAGACTACTGTAAAGTCATCCAATGGTGAAAGGTGAAAGAAAATGGAGGAAAATTGAATAAGGGAGAAATCAGGTAGTTGGATTGAAGTAAATTGGGAAAGAAATCGAAAATATGGACCCCACAAATGGCAAAAGTAGACGGAATCCGTTAAAGGGCAGTGCTAGACAAAGTTTTTGCATTTGTGGGTAGTTGTTTACAAATAATTTTTTCGGGTAGTTTGTTCACTAAATAGACCTTTTATAGGATAGTTTTGGACAAAATTTCCTTATATTAACAACAATTAGGAAAGTCATCCAATGGTGAAAGGTGAAAGAAAATGGAGGAAAATTGAATAAGGGAGAAATCAGGTAGTTGGATTGAAGTAAATTGGGAAAGAAAACGATATGAACCCCACAAATGGCAAAAGTAGACGGAATCTGTTAAAGGACAGTGCTAGACAAAGTTTTTGCATTTGTGGGTAGTTGTTTACAAATAATTTTTTTCGGGTAGTTTGTTCACTAAATAGACCTTTTATAGGATAGTTTTGGACAAAATTTCCTTATATTAACAACAATTAGGAAAGTCATCCAATGGTGAAAGGTGAAAGAAAATGGAGGAAAATTGAATAAGGGAGAAATCAGGTAGTTGGATTGAAGTAAATTGGGAAAGAAAACGAAAATATGGACCCCACAAATGGCAAAAGTAGACGGAATCTGTTAAAGGGCAGTGCTAGACAAAGTTTTTGCATTTGTGGGTAGTTGTTTACAAATAATTTTTTTCCGGTAGTTTGTTCACTAAATAGACCTTTTATAGGATAGTTTTGGACAAAATTTCCTTATATTAACAACAATTAGGAAATAAAAAAATATAATGAAATAGACTTAATTACTACAAGTAGTTTTTATGTGCAATGGTCGTCTAAAATTTAATAATTAATACACGTATACGTTTGTATCAATTTTAAAAAGCGAAGAATGATATGTAACATATAGTGCAAAGTAAGTTTAATGCATAAGTTGTGTAAATCTTAAACAAGCGATACCAAGTGTGGGATCCAAGTGTCTAAGCCGGTAACCCACTTGTACAATAACTTATGATAATTCTCATGATTTTGCACACATTTAGATCTCTCTATTAGGCTACTCTCCTTGCTATTCTCCTTCATCTTAGTTAATTTGATGCATATTAAGAGAATTTTAGTAGTTCTTTTAGATTTGCATCAGTATTAGTTTCTTGCCTGGTGCTTCCCTTATGTTTCTTGACAATTATGTTTCTGCATGACAAGCCCATACACATCAAGCCAGTAGAAGCCCACTGCCTACTCATGCCTTGACCCAAGCCCAATGAATGAGGAAGCCCATGCCAAGAAGAAAAAGATCGAAAAAGGCAGAGCACAACGAATGCCCACCTAGAGGAAACCACCAAAGCAAAATCCAATGTAAATAGAGGAAAAAAAAAAAGTCAAACATGTCAATTATTCAGAAATAGAGGGAGTAATAATTAAAGTGATATACCGTACAAAACATGTAAAATCATACAGCAATCAAAATGGGGATGAGACTCTACGGGAATAAGCAAATGATACGTATAAAGTATTCTACGATTCGTACCATTCCACCCGTTTTTTTTTTTTTTAAGGTAAGATGAAAGACCTTAATGAATCGACACTTCTCACAGGTTTAGTCAACCAACCCCGCAGGTCGATGCTTGAGAGTGGAGGGGGAGGTAAGGGAATCCACCTACTTTTAAGCATTTTGTAGTTGGTGGGGCTCGAACTTGGGACCTCAAAATCACAAGGTGAGTTCCCCACCAACTCCGGCAAGTTTGCTTGGTACCATTCCGGCCGTTTGTCATCCCTAAAACTACCCTTGTACAACCTAGGTATATTATTGTATATATTCAATATAGAGTACAAACTCCAAAGATGTTTTGACTTTTGAGCGTGGGTAGATCGAGCCTAGAGAGAAGCACGAAGCTCTCGCACGGTCTCGTATAGCAACATTTGATGTCGGTAAGCGTGAATGGACCAGGCCTTCTATGCTATGTTTCCGTTTCACTATTGGGTCTGCTGTTATTTCGTTGGGCTTTGTGCATTTGACCTCAACTTTGCAATTCGTGAATCGTGAGTAGCGTGTTGCTTTCACTTGTATATTTTCTACTTTCTCTTATCTTCTTAACTATCATTGTTATCTCTAATCAATTTTGTCTCAACCTAATTTATGATCGTTAAATTTGACATCTGATGCAACGACTTTAAAAGTTTAAATCAATGCAAATAATAATTTTGTTTTTGGATTTCTACATTTTTGGTTGTCAACTGTAGTTTGATTGTGGGTGTAAACTTGAATGTTAAAGTTTGTAAATCCTTGGTTCTTTTTATCTGTTGTACATTTAAGTAACCTTGACTTGCATATTTTGCTCTTTTAAGGGACTGGAAATGAGCTATATGAGCATGCGGCATTAGCCTTGAGTGTGTGAGTAATACAAGTACATGAAACTCATGTAAGAATATCGAAGTCATAAGATATTTTATATGGTCAATTTTCCATTAAATCGCGACCGATAGTACAATAGGGAACAGGTCAATACGTAATAGGCACTTTTAGATAGTCTCTTAGTCAAAAGAAGCTACAAGCCTATAGCATAAGTATATAGCATAAGCGAGCACTAAAAATGGCACGCTACATGAAATTTTCTTGCACAAACCACATTCATTAGCTAGGCCTGTCTGTAATTAGTAAGAAGGAAACTTAATTTGAGACCCACAATCACCCTGCCCCTTAGGAACGAAGGGGCAGTTGATAAGTCTAGTGCCAGTTCTATCAACACACATTGAAACTTGCCAAATCTGGCTAACCCCTTGAGAATTGCTGTTACAAACAACCCAAGGATGAAATCCTGTTGCCCGAGCAATCGCCTTCTTCACGGCCTTGAGAGGGTACATCTGGTTGTTTGGTCGAATCCCGGCTCTTGTAAGGGCTTGGAGGATATTCACCCTGTTCTTAAGGGCCAAAGCCGCTTTGAAGTAGGCGACTTCACCTAGGACTGATTTCGAGCATGTACCGTGTTTGTTCCATTCATGAACCCAAAACTTTCTACCGATTTGTGGGCATGTAAATGATGGCCACTCCTTCCTTAGGTTGTCTTGCATAGGTTTAAGCTACATAAATTAAAGATCTTAGTTAGCAATCAAAGAACAATAAAGGAATATGGGAAATTTAGGAACAAGTTTACAATCACCTACATTGCCTCCCTAGCTAGGATCAATAGTATGAAACAAAACCACTTATTACCTATGAGCTACAAGTCATTCAATTCGGGTTATAATCGAGCAATTATCATTAAATTAGATCTAGATTACTATCAAGTCGATTCAATTGGGTTTATTGCCAATTAGTTTATTATGATAACTCAACCAATATCAATCAACTTCAATTCTAATCAAATTTAAATGGCGTCAAAATCGAGTTTAATTTCTAAGATCAATTTTAGATATGGTCTAGATTTGGTAGAGTACGAGCCAGTTTTGCAAAGTCCTCATTGGAAAGTCACTATCACGCTATCTCACAAGCTCCCAAATTGCTCAAATCCCTCTTTGTAATCCGCCTAAAATCCACAACTTCACATCATACATGTTACAAGAAAACGGTGATCTGACATTTCCTATTTATTTCAATAATCTAACACCAAATTAATTTAACTACTGTATGTTACTGCAACAGAAGACATTATGTTAGCTTTTACTCCTTCTGTCCCAAACTTTATATTAAAACCTATCTAAAAACATATTTTACGATAAAATATATTTTTATTATGTTAGTAAAAAAATTATGGTCAAACTTAACAGTGAAAAAAAAGTCCAAACATCTAATGTATTATGGGACGGAAGGAGTAGTACCGAGTTGTTTTCTGTTGTTATAATTCATTAATGCTCCGTACCTTTGATGTTACGTAGAAACATTACATCTAATTATATTTAACTGTTGGGTCCTTAAAAATCAGAAGATTAAGGAGATAGTTTATTTAAATGTGAAATATTATTTGTATTGACTATCGTCCCGGGTTCATCGGACTATGAGTCAAGGTTCATCCAACCCACGGCCTTGGCGTTGAACATGGTCTTGTGTTTGGGACTATTACAATTTTAAAGCCGGGTTAGTACTCCGAATGAGTTCAGACAAGTTTAGATTATGACGATAGTTTCAAACAAATTTAATTACGGCTTTAGAGAACACTTTATTAAATTAGAAATAATTAAACATCTCTGTTTTTGGTTAGTTTCTCCTTAATAAATGTGTGATTTTGATTCTTGACAGTCGACATAGTCGCTTCGTTTCATATTAATTTTTTACATTAAGCTACCGAATTTATACTAGTATAATTTTTCATATGAATTTGCACATGTAAAAAAAATAGATCAAGAAAAAAAAAGGAGGAGAAAAATACCAGAGCTTCATTAAAGTTGCCGCCACCACAATTGTAGGGAAAACTGCCGTCATTGTAGTAAGGCCAAAGCCCATAAATTGAAAACTCTGCTGCTGGTTTTCCTGAATCTGGGAAACAACATCTTTCCCCGTGTTGGTCGCAGTACGATCCTAACCACTGCACAATAATAGTCACATTAATAGTGTACTTCGAACTAGCTAGTAAAAATGTAACAACGTAACAACTAAATCCGGACAGAATGAGTAGCTTCGCTAGATAGTGAAATAACAAAGAAATTATTACCTGTTGCACAAAGTAGAACAAATGAAAATCACCATTGTTAGCAAGAGCTACAACAGATAAACTTAGCATTAAACTAAGTTTGATTAACATAGAACTTCCCCATTTTCCCATTCTCACTCACTTACTCGATCAAATTGGATCTTGTGTTAGTTGGGAGAGTTGATATATTATGAAGATAGTAAATGGGTTGAAGGCCTTATTTATAATAGTTGGTCCATTGTTAAAGTACTAGTACTTATTATAATAATAGTAATAAGAATAATGATAATAGTAGTATGTGGATGTGAAGAGGGAAAAAGACACTGCTATTTTTCTAACTTTTTCTGCTTTTATTCTGAATGATATTTTTTTCACTTAAATCACGCAAATAATTTGGGAAACTTTCACATGGAGTGATGTAGTTGCAACAAATATACTCCGTATTTATGTGTGCATTCGTATTTCAGAGGGATGTTACATTATTTGTTTTAAGATAATATATTCCTTATCCATATTCTGAAAGTTTATAAGATTACGCAAGTTTAATTTATAATTAAAAAAATAATCTAATAAATTCAAATAAGTTCAAGCAATTTAGGTAAACCTTGATAACATATTGCTTACATTAGTGAAAATCAAGTAAATTGAATGTATTCTTTTAAGCTTATAATAACTACTCCGTTTTAATTTCTTTAAGAAATAAATTTTTCATCATATTCGTGGAGTGGGATGGAAATTTTCTTTAGTTGTCATAATATAAAACTATAATTGTGAGGATCCATTAACCGGTTAATTAAGTGTAATGTTTTATAGGAAGACAAGGTTTGAATTTGATTATTTGTAGACAACTTTACAACAATAATATGTAATACAGTACGGAGTATTAGAAGTTGTATTGGATTATAGACTGCATTAGTCTTGAAAGTTAAAACAAGTTACTCCGTAATATTGATAAATAATTTTTTTTTTAATTTTTTTTTTAATTTTTTTTTTATTGAATAGTAATTCTTTATGTTGAGTTGAACTTGAATTTGTTATTTTTTCTTAAACAAGTTTTCTTATATACTAATAATGTTTTTCACGTTACTTTAAGTATAGTAGGTAGTTTATAATAATACGAAGTAGTAATATATACTTATGCTTGGAATGAAACTACAAAAAGGAAAATATACTAAACACATCCGCACATGGTCACTTTAATATGTGCCTTAACAGTTAATGAGAAGCCTTTCCTATTAATGAACATAATAATATCAAGCAATTATAGCTACTAACATGTACACGTATGTATTATTACCATTATTGATGCGTGGCAAGCTATTAATCCAACTTTGTATAGTCATACACCCATACTACACATATTGTATCGTCGTATGGTGAGTTCCATTATCCGACCACCAACAGGCCGCATCAATATTTTACCACACGAGCTGAGCGACTTGATAAGACCCTCTTCCCCTGAAGGGGGAGGGGACGGGAGATGGATCTATATACAGTCGTATTACTACATAAGTCTTATTTAGAGATGGCAGAACTGACTCATACCCGATTACTAGACGTGAAGTCTCCTATTTGAAATTCAAACTCTACCAGAAGTCGCTTGAACCAATTTGACGTGATACAATGTTTCTGATAGTGATAGTTTTATCAAAGTAAATATATAGGCAATAAAACTAAAAATGACCTGACCTAAACTGAACTCCGAATGATTCTTATTTGAAAAAGTTCCAACCCAAAGTGATCTGATTCTAACTCGATTTAAATGACCCAATTGCCTCGTCAATCTAGTCTCATTTTATTTGATGGGAAATATGTCCGTTTTCAATAAGTGCACACCTAATAATCTAATATTCATTTTTATGTATTACTACATTAATCCTTACTAATTTGAGATTTTTATGTAAGTCCAAGTTAGTGTCGCAAGTATTCAATAACAATGTAAATACAATTGCAAGTCTATTATATATTACATGCATGTAGTAATGTAGAGATTAATCCAGATTTGAGTCGAGCGCTCTCTCAACAAGTATTGTTGTAAGTATTAAATCTAAAATTTTGATTAAGATACAACAACCCTTTTACTAGTTGAACTAAGTGTTAGGTTGCAAATGTGAGTTGTTGTCCCACATAGAAAAATTAAATAAAAAACCACTAGTTTATAACCTAAGTGACCTACTCCTTTTATTGTCGTATATTTTGAAATTAAACATCGCTTGGGTTTATATATAGGCTTTTCTCTCCTCCTTATCCCCCCCCCCACCAATTCCTAACACTAAGCACTTATTAATAATTAATAAGGAGGGTATTATTCATTTATTTGGTATAGATAAGGGTGTAGACGAATTTATAGTATAACATGGGAGGTCACTTAACGGGCCCATCCCCACATGAAAGAGCCTAAAGTTCAATGGTTGCACATGTTATCGACTTATCGATAACCAGAAAGGTATGCAGTGTCTCCCTTTGGCTTCTACATACGCACCATATATTTCATTTATCCTAATTAATTTCTGACTATTACGTCTATTTTTTCATGTGATCTGATTGCAGATCATTTACTATAAGACGATATTATTGGTATGGTAACTGACATTTAAGTCAGCAGTTCACCACCAACCAATTTTTCTCATTCAATTTTTATTAATTCACTTCTCTAATTTAATCTACCATGAATGTATGAATCCCAAAATATTTTGGATCATGTGTTCTATCCGTACATTTTTCTTTTCAAAATATTCTTAAAAAATGACAAATTATTGTAAAAGATGATATTATTAATATAATTAAGTATTTACTTGGAATGATTCTATATACTAGAAACATCAACTAAGTGAGTTGAGGTGAATACAATCGGATGAGTACAAAATTACTTTAGTGAGTAGTTATATGCATACATTTAAAGTCAAATGACTAAAAAATCTAGGTTAATGCAATAGGTTAACTGAAATAAATGTATTTAATTAAGGTTTAATGAAAGGGATCAGAATATCAGATGTTAAGTGGTTTGGATGTCAAAAGTTTAATTGTTTTTAGTTTACATGAGTGGTACTCATCAACTATCTTTGGGACACTTTCTACTCTATTAAATAAATAAAAAATGGTTATATATATATAATGAGAAAGAATTTATGTAAAGGAAGGGGGATGATGCTTTACTGGACTGTTTGTGAGATCGTGAAGTTAGATAGTGACAAATTAGGGTAAAAGAGAGAATGGAGGTGAAGAGAGAATTGAATGGCTTTTTTATTATCAATCATTAGGTAGAGTATTTATATAAAATTTAAGCTTATAAGATAGGAAACAATTTTCTTAAAAAATATACTAGCCTAATCATAAATCTTAAAGATATATTCTCTAAATAATATCTTAACCTAAAATAAACCTAAACATATTATTCTCTTAATGATATTTACAGAAAATATATCTATATTTTCCGATATCTCATCTCTAACACCCTCCCGCAATCGTAACGGCAATAACACGAACGTTGCGATTGAAAATTCTTCACTTTGTTAAAGTCGATCGAATTGCACTACTCTGTTGATCTCGCCTTTACTTTTTTTTTTTTAAAAAAAGACAAACTTTTGCAGCCACGTCCCTTTGCTGGTGTCCGTGGTCTTCTGCCACGTCCCTTTGCTGGTGTCAGTGGTCTTCTTGCTACTGTCCGTGGCTTTCTGCAACCACGTCCATTCTTATCTTCATATGCATACCCTGTCGTCTCAAGGTATAATGTCCTATCGTCTCAAAGGTACAAGGAAAATAATATGCTTGTCCTGTCATTTCAAGGTACAAAATCCTGTCGTTTCAAGGTATAAGGTAACCAATCCCTGTCTCACGGCACAAGGAGAACCATCTTATTAACATTGTCTCACGGTACAAGGAGAACCAATTCAATATATTTCCTGTCTCACGACACAAGGAGAGCCGAAAAAACTTTTTTTTTTCTTTTTTAAAAAAAAAATAAAACTCAAAGGTTACCCTTTGTTTTCACCTTGTCAACAACACAATGTCATAAAAAAATCACCCTATCCTCAAAGAGTACGTGACAAAAGCCACGCATGTTGATGTAATTACATTAAGTCATCATCACCCACAGATGCTTGAAGTGCATTCACGTACTTGCGGAAATATTAAAAAAGAAATATATATTTTTGGCTAAAGTTTTATCCCATCGGTGGATTTAATTTTCTAACCCACTGACAGGGGGAAAATGTTGTCAACGGTTCTAAGATTTAACCTGCTCTTGATACCATGATAAATTTAAGGTGAAAAAGATTTAACCTGCTCTTGATACCGGCAGGGGGAAAATGTTGTGGGTACCTTAATGAAGACCTACATTGTTTGGAAAGTGAGCATAGATCAAGTAATATGAGCTCATGATCTTGCTAATGATTGTAGGAGAAATTTAACTTCTTTACTAGCTAATTCTTATTTTAGTTGCTTTGTCAAAAATAAGACATTTTACACGTAGTTGGTGTTGTTGCAAAATAGAAAAAATAATAATAATCTACCATTATAGTTCCATTTTAAATTAATTGTAGCGATTAAATATTTTTTACTTTTATTTTTTATTAAATCGTTATTAATAATTTAAAACGAATGTCAAATAGTAAATAAAAATTACCGTATCACGGATAATGGAGAAAAGGCAGTCAAATCGCACCACGTGCAGCAATAATTCCAAGCATGGACTCCTGTCTGGGACTCCAGAATTCTTTATTTTAAGTGTCGGTCACCCTCAAACTTTAATTATTCCAAGAAAATCAAACTGATGTATGTATGTTAAAATCTATAGTCAAGGTGGCTTTGGGCAAGGTTGGGCCGAGTCAAGCCCACGGGCTTCCAGGTTGACTGGTAACAGCCCACGTCCTGACGTCCTAGCCCAACACGAATGAGTTAGCTGGGCGGAGTTCAAATTTTGAAAAGTAAGGCCCAAATACGGCATGGACCCATGGGCCTCGAGGACTGGGTTGGGTAGACCCACGAGCTTCTTAATATTACTGGGTTGTCCTGGCCCACCACTATTGACCCCAGTTATTCGTTAGACTTTTAGAAACTAATATTATCAGTCAAATATATTGAAACTAGTACAAATAATTTTAGGCTCTCCACTACTTGTGAATTTCCCTAAATTAATATGAACTCCATGTGAAGTTTCCAACAAGATTGAAAAGAAACCTAATAAAGTGTTATTCAGTAATAAAGTTTAAATCGTTCATACAATCAATAATGTGAAGTTATAAT